GGAAGATGAACAGACAGAGGAGCACAGAGGATTTTCAGGGCAGTGAAACTATTCTGTGACTACAGTGGTAGTGGTGGATACATGTCATTACACATTTGTCCAAACCCGCAGAATGTACACCAAGCGTGAACCCTACTGTAAACTGTGGGCTTCGGGTGATAATGACACTTTAATACAGGTTCATCAGATATACTGCTGTGGTACCGGATGTTGACGTGGGGGAGGCTGAGCGGGGAGGGGGCAGAGGGTACATGGGAACTCTGTATTTTCTGCTCCATTCTGCTGTAAATCTAGTAAAATAAAGCCAAGGAAGAAAGGAAAAGAGAAAGAAACAGAAAGAAAGGAGGAAAGAAACAGAAAGGAGGAAAGGAAGCAAGGAAGAAAAGAAAGAAAGAAAAAAAGCAAAAAAGAAAACAAACTAGTCCATAATGTTAAAGCAATGTCTGTAAAAGTTCAACAGAATCATTGATGTAATACGATCATCCCTCAAGTCTACTCAGCACTTGACCAATCATCCAATATGCCACACACTTTCTAATCTTGGAGCCATTAAGTACACATTCATTTAGCCTGACGGGCCCTCCCCGTGCCACCCCCGTCCCCCACCCACTAAAATTCTAACTGTCCAAACACTTCAAAGTCAGTGCCATATGTCCCTGAGGTCATGCAGCCATCTGACCCTTCATCTGAATGGTGGGTTCCTTCCTCCCCCTCTCTGTACCACGTCACAGCTTTCTGTTTGGCTCGTGGTATGGAAACAAAACTTCTCACGTGACCTTTTAAAGATCAGAGGTTACAGTATCTAAAAATCTAGGTGTCTTGCTTTTGAGAGAAATGGTATGACACTACTTACCAGGTGGGCATGGGGGTGGGCAGCAGGAACGACACTACAGGTCCCTCTCCTCGTGGCCTCCCCAGCGCCGAGGCAGAGGTCATCTACAACACTGCTGTCATTCACCATTGTCCCTGCGTTATTTTTCTTACTCCCTCTCACTCCGCCCCCTGGAGATGCCTGCCTAGCTCCCTTCCCTAGTCACTCACTTCTCTGTCTCTCCTACCTACTGCCTTTAATTCTCCCGAGAACAAGGTTTTATTTCTCTTTCCTCATTCCCATCTAATTATAGGATATTTTCATTAACGATTTTCTCTTTTTTCTGTATATATATATATATATTTTTAGTTGAAGTATACTCAGTTGACAATGTTTTGTCAGTTTCTGGTATATAGCATAATGTCTCAGTCATACATGTACAAGCATATATTCCCTTTCATATTTTTTCATCACAAGTTACCATTAACTACTTTCTGAATTTACTAGTCAACAAAATAGGAAAACTGTTAAGACAATCCATCACAAATGCTGCTCCTTAAGCTGTAGCAGTTGGTAGCCCTGCCTCTTAATATTTATATTCACTTCCAAACTCTACGCTATCCTTTTCACATCTAAGTTGCAAGTAGGCGCTTTATGAGTGAGGCTGAGACGCAGATCAGAAAGAGATCATGTGTTGAAGGCCTATTATGTGCCAGGCATTGTACTAGGCTCGAAGGAGGGGTAAAAACCCAGCAGCTGGGAGTGTTTGGCACAACCCTAGGGACCAACCTTGCCGGCCCAGGTAGGCCTAGCATTCCAGGATAGCCGGTGGCCTCTGGCAACAAGCAGGAACAGGGCATGGTTACCAGGCCCGGAGGGGTGGGGGCGGGGTTACATCATATACACTTAGTGGGACACCCAGCAGTCTTAGATGTGTGAACTGAGGCCAGGTGAAGGGTCTACACCAGAGCCCAGGACCACCCCCATCCCTGACTGGAGGCCTCCTCTCTGTTTAACTAATGCAGTAGATTCAATCACATCTGCTGTTAGGAAATCTCACTGGACACCTGGTGCTATCCTAGGCCCTCAGAAAGAAGCCCGATCATAAAGAAATGTGTCCTATTATCCCTGTTATCAAAACAGAATATGGAAAATTTGAAATCAGAAAGAGTAGTTTTCATCTAAGAGCACAATCAAATTTAATTAAAGAAAAACCATTAAAGCAAATAATTGGGCCTAATGGTATGCTGTTGAGATGCTGTAAAACCTTTTTCTTAACTAAATTTTTTACTTCAGATAGTTGTAGATTCGTGGTTAAAAGATATGTTACAGAAAGAGCTCTTGTATCATTTACTGTTTCCCCCAGCGGTAACATCCTGCAAAACTACAGTACAGTGTCACAACCGTATACTGATACTGATGTAGTCAAGACACAAAACAAATCCCTCACTGCTGTTTTACAGCCATACCCGATTCCCTCCTGCTCCCTCCACCTCCGAACCTCTGGCAACCCCTAATCTGCTCCCCATGTTTATAATTTTGTCATTTTAATAATAGGTAAGTGAAATCATATAATATGTAACTTTGGGGATTGGCTGTTTTCACCCAGGATAACCCATCCTGCTGTAAAACCTTTTAATTGGTGATCATGAGACAAGTACAACTCAGAAAACAAACACCTTGGTTTCGCTGATTCACACGAACTCAAACAGCACAAGGAAATGAAATTTTCCTGTGCTCTGTAACCTACAAGGGTTGTCCATAAAGGTTTTCCTGCCAGTGTAATGACATGAAGATATCCTCACTGTCAGACTGTTTTACCACAAAGAATGTTTTACACGTTGGAATTATAAACCTTTATGCTTGTGTGGCCATGAAGGTTTGTGAAACTTGTCTCCAAAAAACACAGCTCGTTATGTTCAAAAATCATCCTTATTATTATAAATCACTTCAAATGGATATGAAATTTACAATGAGCTACTTGAGTTTTCCCACTCAGAAATAAGTCTTTGCTCTCACACTAACAAAAAAAAAAGAAAGAGAGAGAGAGAAAGAAAAAGAAATAAAGGAAGAAAAACCCTCACTGGAATTGCTGTTGTTCGAAACAGCAGCACTCACGTAGAGTTTAAGCCACGGCAGAGAAGAAACACCTGTCAGCTCCAAAATCTTAAAAAAACCCAAGATGGTTTGCTGGTTCTTCAAAGTTTTCCTTCAACACATTCAAAACCACTTTCCGTATCTGCCAAACCTGGCCAGAGTCTCATCACTGAATGACTATTCAAAAGGAAAAGCAAATTCCTGACCCGTTACCATTTTTAAAAACAGAAACCAAACAGGCTTGTCACACATTAGCAGGCCAATAACACGAAGATCAAGCAACAAATTAATAAGAGGGTTTGCAACCTGTTGCAAGGTTTATAAAACATAAGCCTAAAATTCATCCACCATTCAAACCATGCACAGCACACTCTGTTGGTGATACACTTTGTTTTGGAAACCAAAACTCATCAGTCACCAGACATAAGATTCTAGATGAATCTCCACTAAGTTTTTAATTCAGATACAGAGAGACAGAGAAATGGGGGGGGGGGAGGGAAAAGAAGGAAGGAAGAGGAGGGAAGAGGAGGGAGGAAGGGAAACTCCCAGGCAGTTCCTTCAGAAGTCTGTATAGGTTAATAAACTATGGAGAAAACAATGTTATTTAAACATTTAAGTAACTATTTGTCCAGTAAAAAAAAACAAAAAACAGCAAACTTTCTTGATAACCTTAACACATATATGTACACACACACCCCTTTAGAACTGACTTCCCCTTCACAACCTCAAACCATCAGTCCTCCT